AGCTATGGTATCCATATGCAAAGACAATAGCAGAGAAAGAGGCATGGAGAGTAGCAGAAGAAAGTGGGATAAATCTAGTGGTTTGTGATCCCTCTTTTGTAGTTGGTCCCTTGCTTACGCCCCAACCAACCAGTTCATTGCGAGAAATACTGACCATCATCAAAGGTGACATTTTCATTATTGTCTAGATGATTTTTTAAAAACACCATCATGCATGGGCAAGGCTGATGTGTTTCCTAATAATTTCTACTATTGGAGATCATAATAAGCCATATCACCATATGGACGGTGCGGTGACTCTTTCCACTAAATTTTTTTTTGATAGGAAACACAATTTTCTTAAAAGAAAATTAGCGTTCAAGTGAAACTCAGTAATTGCTTAAATGGAAAAAAAGTATTATTCCTTTTCATTAAGTGGAAAAAGCCTCCTTCACAGAGAGAGCAAAACCAACAGCCATGTACTATTGTGCAGGGATAGATGAACCTTAATTGGTAACTATGGAATTGTTGTTAATGCAATTATGAGTCAAAGGTGAATGTATTTAGTAGTTCTCAGATAATGTGTGTTTGATATCCTTATGCTCCGTTTGATAGGGAGGATGAAAGTAGTAGGTATATATTTTCTATTATTTAAAGATAGAAAGTAGAAATGATACACTTTCCTTTCTTTGTGTTTGGTTGAATGGATAGAAAATAAAAATTACTAATTTTTTTTTAATTTTTTTTGTGCTTACTAAGACTAGGGGTGATAATCGAGTCGTGTCGTGTTAAATTTGTGTTGAGTCATAAAATTTTTAATTTTTATTTTTTTAATTTTTTTTTTAAAAAAAAAAAATATATATATATATATATATATATATAAATACATATTTTATCATTGTATTTTTATATTAAATTAATATATACATAATATATAAACAAACAAGATACATTTCAACACAAATCATCCACTTTCCTTTCGATTTTAGAGGGATTGATTTTAGTGAGTTGGAAGGAAAGTTAATTCACCACTTTTTCATTTTTCCTATTTTCCTTCCTTATCAAACATGATGTTTTATCTATCCCTCCAACTTTTCATCCTTCTATTTTTTCATCATACCAAATGAAACATTATTCAATTTTTTCCCTAAGGGAAGTTGAGGAAGAGGAAAGTAGCCAAATTCAACCAGATAACCCAAGATTCAAATACTATACTCAACTATCAGATGAAAAAGAAAAATGTTACTCTTGAAGCAGTGATGGATACACTCATATCACTTACATAATTTGCACTCAGAAGTCGTAAAAATTTGAAGTTATCATTCAATGCAATACACACTCAACGATAATCGTTTTTAAGATTTTATCAAAACAACAATGCCCATACATATAATTTCTATTATGCAGGTTATGCTTACCTATTCCCTTAAACTGCCTGGTTGGAGAAATCCTCACTGACTTTCCAAGAAGCATTTAAGATTCAGTACCCAAATCGACCACCATGTGACCGCCAAACAAATCATCCTACACCAAGTCCACAAAAAAAAAAAAAACTACAAATGTTTCCTGGATCTTAATGAGCTCAATTTATGGACTTGTAGTTTCAAATTAGTTTTAAATATATGAATGATAAATTGCATAATAGTATTTGATCATAGATTATTGCATTCTCCCTTTTTTTATTTTAAATCTATTTTCTATTTCAATATATGAAAGTGAATTTAGAAAAACGAAAATCTGTGTGCTTTTATCGTAGATATACTAGGAGACAGCAAAATAATTTTAGTATATGATTTTGAGGTAAAGATAGTAAACCTAATAGTTTTTACTTTGGTTTGGTATTTATCGGGCAACATAATAACATTCAGTCATACAAATCAGCCACTTTTTTCGATCTTCAAATCGAAGAACATATTTGGTTTTGCACTTTCAAAATATTAATTATTTTTTAGTTTGATACAACACGTAAGCTCATTGTAACGTGACGGAATTAATTTTCTTGTCCCTGCAACTTCTTGTCAGGTGTAAGAGGAGACTACCCAAACGTAAGAGGAGGGTTTGTGCATGTAGATGATGTAGTGGATGCACATATATTAGCAATGGAGGAAAGTAAAGCATCAGGCAGGCTTATATGTTCAAGCACAGTAGCACATTGGTCAGAGATCATTGAGATGCTAAAGACCAAATATCCAATTTATCCATATGAAGACAAGTAAGAAAAAAAATGTAGTTTCTATTATTTGACCTTCACTACATTTTTTAGGTGATAAAAAAAAAAAAGCAGTTACAGAATCAAATTGCAATTGAGCTGCTAAGCAGCCCCATAACTTGTTCCTAAATTGGATGCTTGTAAGTGTACCTTGGTTATCCTTTTCAGGTGCAGCAGTCAAGAAGGAGACAACAACCCACATAGCATAGGCAGCAGCAAGATTCTTCAGCTGGGTCTCCCGGCTTTAACAACACTTGATCAAATGTTTGATGACTGCATCAAAAGTTTCCAACAGAAGGGATTTCTTTGAAGGTCAACATATCTTCTGCAAGTTCATTCAGCTAATTGGGCTGTAGTTTTCTACATTATTAGATTGTGTTGTACAAACTAAAAACATATGGAGCAGACTTATATGAATGTTCCGGCAATTGGGAAAAGAAAATTCAATATTATATTGAGTTGTAGGTGATGTCTTTGCACCAAAACTTTCTAAAACTGTGCTGTATATTGTCTGTTCTAGTCAAACGAAACATTTTTAACTGCTTAGGGAACTCAAGTCAATGCTTCATTAGTATCAGTTATTGAAAAATAGAGAGCCACGGGTATAGCATACAGGTATGAATTATAATCATCTTTTTGTGCATTTGTTCTCTGCCATACAATACATGCACAGGCTTGATCCACAGATATATTTCTTGCCACAAAGAGGAAGTAAATAAGTTTGCACAATTGGTATGCTCTGCAAATCTATCAAATTCAGCAAATAGATTAAAGCTTATGATTGCAATCTAGGTTTGGAGTTCCCCCTATAGTTGTTTAAAATAAGATTTGAAACTCATCTAATAGATTTTTGGGTGGAGCTATTTTTACCCTACAAATATCTTTTCTCACCCCCATTAAACTATCAATTATAAAACTACCAAGTCCACCACTACTGTGTCCACCCCACTAATGACTAAGTCCACCCCATTAAAGACTAAACTTACCACGTGCAATGTTTGAGTTCTTCTTAGTTATGTTTTAATGTGTCATGATATCAACAATTAAATTATGGATAAAATATACAAAATAGGTTATATTTGACTCTTAACAAACAAAAACGGATAAACCTTCACTTAAATACTTTTTATAAACTAAACATTTTGTGTGAATTTCTCTTCAAAAAAGAGATATTAAGTTAAGTTTGTATAGTTGTATATATACATACTAGTTATTCCTCATGCCTGAAGGCACGAAATAGTAAAAAAATGGTCAACATATTTATATTCACACTCAAAATGCAATTTACAAACACAAATGAGAGATAAAAAAATTTAAGCACTAATTGTAGTGGGAGTGAGCAGTGGTAGTGGTGGTGGGCGACAGTAGTGATGATGGGAGACAATGATGGTTGGGGTGGATAAGGCGACGATCGTGGTGGTAATAGCAGCCGTGGGTGGCAATGTTAATGGTGATGGTGGATTTTGAGTGACGATGATGGTAGTGACAACCATGGGTAACAACGGTAATAATGGTGGTGGTGGGTGTGGGTGGTAGTGGATGACGGTGATGGTGGTTAACAGTGGTGGTGATGGGCAATGACGATGGCGGTGATGGGCGACGATAGGTGTTTCTGGACGACAGTATAATGGGTGGCGGCGAATTGTGGCGGTGATAAGCGTGGTAAGGGTAAGTGATAGTGGGTGGCGATAATAGGTGGTGGTTGTTAGTGGTGGTAGGTGTGGTGGGATAGGTCGTAGTGGCTGGTGGCGATGGGTGGTGGTGGGTGCTGACGGTGGGCGATGGTGGTAGTGGGATGATGATGGTAATGATAATAAGTATAAGAATAAGATGACGATGATAGTAGCTGGTGATAGTGGTAGTGGTGGTGGTGGCGGCGATGGGGCAGTGAGGGTGGGGTGGGGTAGAGGTGGGGTAGTAGGTGGGGTATTGGTGGGTTGGTGATGGTGGTGGTAATTGTGATGGTCATGGGGGTAGGGGTGAGACAGTGGGCGTGGTAGGGGTAATGATGGGACAGTAACAGAGGCGGTAAGGAGCGATAGCGGTAGTGATGATAGTAGGGTGCAGTAGTGGTGGGGCAATGGAAGTGGTGATGGTGGTGACAGCGGCGGTGGTAGTGCGTATGGTAGGGTGGCGATAGTGATGGTGTTAGGGATGGGGGTGGTGATGGTGGTAGTGGAGCAGTGGGGATAGTGGTGTTAAAAGTAGTAGTGAGACGGTTTCAAACACTATTTTTTATTTCAAATACTTATGAGAAATACTTTTAAAAAATTATTTCAAACATATTCTTAGGGGTTTATTTTTTATATTAAATTTGATGTGTTAATATTTGTTGTTAGATTAACTTTAAAGTAAAATTTAAAACGATTTTAACCGTAAATAACAAATGTCATTTTGTTTATCGTTTGATATTTAAATTTTATTACACTTTATTATATAGATATATTTAACCTTATATATATTATACATAAAACTTGAATAAAATCATTGATATTGATAAAAAAAAAAAAAAAACACGTGCAACAAAATAAAATAAATTTAGAACCATTACCAATTTGAATATCACTTTAGAGATTTATCCTAAATAATTAAATATATTTTCGTGTTGACCGTATGAGATGGGGTATAGAAAAAAAAACCTTATAGGTGAAAATTGATATAAGTTTAGTCATTAGTGGGGTGGGTATAAAATGAGATGAGCTTAATTACTAGTAGAATGGGTATAGAAAGAATAAACTTAATAGTTTTATAATTTTCTTCAATATAGATCATTAGCTATGAATTTAAATAGAACTCACTATATTTAAGTGGATCTCCCACAAATATATGGTGGGCAATCTACTATTGGGCGAATTAAGAAAAAGTGTATTGAAGGGATTTGGATCCTTTTAAAGTACGCGATGAAAAAACCTTTATTAGCAATGCATTGAAACCTATATAATGTTTTCCAAATCCAAACATCAACAAATGCACAAATTCGTGGAGATATGCATCACTTGGGTGATGTCCAACCAGCACTCAAATTTGAGTAAGAATTTGAAGAAATACAAAGTACTCCAATGGTAACAAATTTAGCGAGTTTCGATTGTTACCAAGGTGCACCAAAACTACAAAAGAGATTTAGATGCAAGCCACATGACATCCCCCCAAAAAAAAAAAAAAAAACACAAAACCAACAAAAGCACCTAATATTGCATACCAAACTTCCTTTGCCCACATGCTTTCCACCCATAAACACACAAAATGGCCAACAAATAGTGAATTGCATGGCTTTATTGATGATCTCTTTTTTCTCAAGAACCATTAATATCACCATCGAACAAATGTGTGTCCGTGTTAGAGAGAGAGAGGGAGAGAGGTGCCAGAAAACTGCATTACAGGGGGTCCAGGGTTGGTAGCGGGTTACCTGGTAAAGCTGCTGCTGGAAAAGGGGCACGTACTTTGCGAAATCCAGGTACCGTTTGATAGTCATTGATACATTCAGTCTCTCCATCTATATACCTACTATGAACAGCATGAAACTGAATACTTTTCAAGCCTATGCAAAGAATTATTTTCAACACACTACGGGCATGGTTGATTTGGTTTTCAAAAATAGTTTTTTGTTCTCAAAATTCTAAAAACAAGAAAAATATTGTTTGTTTAGTTTTTTTTGTTCTCTAATTTTTTAAAAATTTTGGGAATCAAGATGTAGTTTTAGAGAACAACAAAATGATATTTTCTGAATTTTCAGGCTAAAATAGAAAACAAGAGAAACAATCTCTCATTTTTAACGAGGTTCACCCCATCAAACTTCCTTAGAATCAAAATGCATTTTTTTTGTTAAAGTATAAAAATCTTTTACTTGTGTGTTTCTTTATCTCCACTTTTTTTCTCTCTCTCTCTCTCTCTGTGCAATGATACTGTCCAAACAAAACACGGACCATTTCTCTCCCACTTCGACAAATCCAAATGAACACACTCACAATTTGGGTTCAAAAACTCCGACGATCTTCAACATCTTCTCCGTCCTTTCCAGTGTCTTTTTTTTTTTTTGCATTTGGGTTCCAAGACACAAGTAGTGGTTGTGGGTTTTGGTGGTGGTTGTGGGTTTTTGGTGATTGTCGGTTTCGGTGCTTTGTGGGTTTCGGTGGTGGTCTTGATGCACAATGAAAGAGAGAGAGATAGGGAGTTGAAGAAAGGTGGAAATTGTAGATTATTGTCTAAATAAATTTTATAATTTTTGTTCTTTAAAATTATTTTCAAAAGTATATAACCAAACAAAATTTACAATCTAAAAATTTTTAAAAACACTTTCTTCAAACTCTTCTCAAAAATAGTTTCTAGATATTATTTTTGAGATGTAAACTAAACAGGCCCTACTACTTCCTTTTGAATGTGTTGGGGAAGTCTCGGATCTACAAAGAAGTGTCTAAAAATTCAATGTTACCAATAGTAATAAAGAATTTTCAAATTAACTCTTTTTTGGGTGACAATTAACGCTCTTAATCTTAAGAAAGATCAAAAACAAAGTCCTGTCCTACTCTCAAATCATGAGGGTCTAAGGAAAGGGGAAGCATGACTGCAGTAACCCCATAGACCTTATAAAACAGGGGAGGGAGAGAGAAATTTTTGTAGTCATACGCCAGTATAAACATGGCAGAATAGTTTTTATAGTTTACCAAAAACATGCGATATTGCTTCTTAGGGCAAAATGTAATGTTTCGGTATAATCTCAAATTGCTTATCTTAGCCCGAATTTCACTAGAAAATGCAGAAACAGTAGGCTTCCTCTGGAAGCTGGATGGAGCAAAGGAGAGACTGAAGATTGTGAAAGCTGATCCATCTGTTGGTGCATGGAAGCTTAGACGACGCCATAAAGGAAGTTGATGGGGTCTTCCACACAGCATGTCCGCTACTCTTGCCATACCATTGCAATATTCATGCAAGATTAACATAGAACTCGAATTTAATTAACCACAGTCATAAATTGATAATCGAGCCATCAAAGCAGTCCATGCTCGATACTAACCTGAATGCATTCTCTACCTACATTCCAGCTGACCATTCTTATCAATATAGATTAACTTGATATTGTTAGAACATCCAACGCACAACCAATTGGCAATGAGTGGAGAGGCCCCCCCAGCATATAAACCAATCTTGAGTGATTCTAATCATTTGATTTGGGATACAAGCTCTCTTTACTAATATAACTGGCCAAAGAGAGTAAAGTGTCACTAGATCCATCTTTGACACACTCTATAAAAAGTTAAAATTCAGTAGCGCAAACAGACTGATAGATCTTAGTGTAAGAGGTTGAAGAATTACATCAAAGAAAAAGTGATGTGTGCATAGACATGCATGGCCTCAACTGGTAACACAATCACTTTAGAACCGGCTATACTGAAAAAACAAGAAGGAAAGAAACTGTGCAACAATCCAGTAAGGAACGCAAGTCCATGCTTCATTCTTAGTCACCTAAATTACCAGTGAGTGATAGAAAGAAATTATGAGCGGGTACAATACACGGATGAGATCATCTTTTTTGGATTGTTCTCTGTCTTGTGCCCAAAGTATGCG